AAGAGATAATTGTTATAAAATTTAAAAATTAAAAGAAAAAAATATTTATTTTATATTTTTCATCTAAGGGAAGAGGAACTATTTGTATATTCATATCAGCTCAGCAATGATGTCGGTTCAAGGCTGTTGTTTAACTTAAATTTTCTACTGTAAATTTATCCACGTGGGTCATGACGTTCCAAGTTACCTCTGATAGAGGAAGAGCGTTTTTCTTTTCCTTTTTTCTTTCCACGTGATGGATCGTACAAGTCTACTTGATGAATTAGTCGTTACTCTCAGGTCTCATCTTCATTATTATTTATAATATTAATAAAAACGTACAATCTCCAAAGTTATTGTTATTCTTAAGGATTAAGGATCTGGAAAAAAAGGGGGGGTCAGACGTAAACGGGGTTAGGTTGTTATTGGGGGTTGCAGCTAACAAAACTGAAAGGATCAGTTACCTACCCTCTTTGATAAGTTAAATGGATCTCCATCGTTTTCCACGTTAGGGGTTATCTAACATTCTAACCTGTGCACTTAAAAATAGAATAAAAAAATATTAATTATATTTTTTAATTAATTTATATAAAAAATAAAAATTAATTTTAAATTTATTAATCATTTAATTAAAATTATTCAAATGATATTTGTGTTAAAAATAATATTTTATTTTTATATTTCATTATTAAAATTTATTATAAAATAAAACATTTAATACGTAATATGTAATCTTAAAATATAAATTAAACAAGTCCTTTTAGATTTTTAACTTTAATTAGGTTGCAAATTTTTGGTCTATTTGTAAGAAAAGGTGTAAATTTGTTTCCTATAAAATTAATTAAATATTTTTAATAAATTAATAAAGAGAGAATTTATTACATTTAAATAATTTTTATAAACATTCTTGCATCTTTTTTTGTAAGTTAACTTGAAAAATACTTTTATATTTATTGATATTAGTCGTGTTTTTTTTACTCCGTTTATACCAAAATAATTATATTATTTATTTATTTTTTTTGTAGATTTAGTTACATTTTTTAGTTTTTGAAATATTAATTTTAGATAAAATTTTAATATATTATATAA